TAAACTACCTTATTAAAGTTAGTTATTAAACTACCTTATTAAAGTTAGTTAGTAAACTACCTTATTAAAGTTAGTAAACTAACATTAAAGTCAGTTATTAAACTACCTTATTAAAGTCAGTTATTAAACTACCTTATTAAAGTCAGTTATTAAACTACCTTATTAAAGTCAGTTATTAAACTACCTTATTAAAGTCAGTTATTAAACTACCTTATTAAAGTTAGTTATTAAACTACCTTATTAAAGTTAGTTAGTAAACTAACTAAACCAATGAGTGAACAGAATACACCTGGGAAGAAACACAGGGGTAATCAGCAGAGTGATGTGGGGCAGCTGAGACACAAGGAAACACTGAAACACTATGAAAACCAAGACATAAAAACACAGATCATGACATTAAACTTACCTATTAAACTAACTTATTAAACTAACTTACTGTCCAAAGGGAACTTTGGTTATTAACTGCTAAAAGCTGCTAAAAGCTGATCAATTTTTTGATAAAATAAGCTAGGATCTTTCAGCTAAACAACACTGGGAAAGCTAAGATTCATCTTCAAAATAAAAGCTTCAAGCTGGTAATAGATGACAAATGCCTGCTAAAAAAATTGCTTTCGCTTTATTTTGAAATGTGTAAACTGCCCGTCCCCCCTTCTTGTTGGCACATCCGAGCGATAGAGTTCTAGCTTGCTGGACCGGTCCACCATTGTAGGGTTAATATGAAATGAATTATTGATTTAGGATGCTGTTACACTGGAATGAGGCATCTGTCAGTATGTCCCATGGCAGCTGTGGCCACATTGTGGCTTGTCATTATCAGTGTGTGAATGTGTTTGGGTGAATGACTGCAAGTGTAAAGTGTTTTGGGGTCCAACAGGGCTTGGTAAAGTTCAGATCAATTATCATTTATCTACAAACTGAAGAGGGTGTCAATGCAATGCAGCAACAGCTGAAAGCCTGCAGCTAAACAAGGCAAGCTAGCCAAAAACCTGTGCAGTAACATGCAGCAGTTTCATGTTTCTCCACCAAACCTCATAACTGCTTAAAAATAAAAAGTGGCGTGGAGTGAAAGGAGAAACGAGTGCAAAAGCTCAAGAGGAAATAGTGGATAAAAGAGGAAAGGTCACAACAGCAGTTTGGTAGTATTTCAGACTGTTTAAATTTGACAAGAGTCAGATCGATTTTGTCTAAAACTAATTATTAATTATCGATATCGATCGATATGAAACACTTATATTGTGATAATTTTTTCGTCCATATCGCCCAATTCTAGTTTATGCATTATCTAGTTTTTCCTAAAATCCAACACAAGCTTCTTTGTCTTAGAGACAGATTAAGATAATTGTCATTGCATCAATCCACAAAAGCAAGTAGGGCAGCACCATGCAGACTCCAAAATAACAACCTTATCCTTTAAATTGTTAAGTTTTTCCAAACTAAGGGAAGTTGACAATAATCAGCACACATTTAAAAGAGATCAGAAAAAACTTTACAGAGCTTATGGGCACATTATCTCAGACTGAGCCCACAGATGGCATCTGGGCCAGGAGCATCCCTTATATTTGTTTTTATGCAGTAAAATGGCTACCCTATGTTCTGATATAGTCAAGTTTATCTGAGGTTCAAGATAATCCCTCAGTCTTGAAACCTCATGGATAAAATTGTGCATTTCAAACCAAGAGAAAGGTGCTTAACAAATTAGCCTCAGCTACTTCATTAATGTTGACTTTTTCTCCTGGTAAAATGTGTTTCTATTTTATTTTTAGATCCAATCTTGGCCGTGGCAGTTTCACTCCTCCTTTCTCAAGGGTTGTTTCTTATGTAAAATATTTTTATTTCTGTTGATAATAGATTTACCAAGGAATCACGGTTAACAAAACGATAAACATAACAAAACAGTATCACAAAGCTCATAAAACCCATCACAAGCACAAAACAAACAGGTCCAGTCAGTACATTCAAAGCATGCCTGCAGAGATGAGATCTTGTCCTCTGTCCAAATCTTCATTTCCTTTTCTGCACACTTGATATGTCTGAAAAGACGGCTTATACCAGGGCTCTCCAACCAGCAGCTCCTGAGCTCATTTAAAGTAGCTCTTCAGTGCTTAGGAACAATTAGGAGAAGTAAACTTTAATTTGTCACTGGCCAAACAAACTTTTATTTAATCAATCTTTAGATGTCCCTCCTCTTGGTTGTCAGTCAAACAGTTTAGGGCTCAGTATGGTCGATCGGCAGACGACGCACGGTTACGTGTTTGTTTGGTGTTTGTTTTTGCACAAACTTTTCATAGCCTCATGAAACACAGGCTGCTAGGAGAGCAGGGTTCACAATTATGATGACGGGTACCAACTAGGTGTCGACACGGTGGAGGGAGCACCACAAAAAAGGCGAGGTAGCCCTACCGGCATGATCTGAGGACCATCAGTAAAGCACATAAACACTTCCTCATCTCCACCAGTCGTCCACGGCGTTTCCCCCGGCTTGTTCTGCAGAGGTGGGGCTGGGTCACAGTGTAAACAAGCTGGGATCCTTGTTAGAAACTGGAGGACAGTTTTTTACCCATCATGTCCTCAATATGCAGCATTAGCATAAAGCTGCAAATCCAAAAGTGTTAGGCGATTATACACTAGTAAGGATTGACATGTTGATTAATAAAACATATAAACAGCAGACAAACAAACAAAGTTTGCAGTGACAGAAGGCGAGCCACACACACTGGCACCATCTCTGTGACTTATTTTAGCTGATGGCAAAGACATGATTTATGCTTTAAGATGTGCTTGTCGTTTAAGTAACTGACTGGACTCATCAAGTTTCATGGGTAAATATAACTATAACTTTGAAATGCTGTCATAGTCATGGTTACAAAGCTGTTAGATGTGTGAACAGACTGGCGGTGGTGCTCTAGTTGGGTGGGTATTTCCATGATACAGAGACTACCTGAGGAAAAAGTTATTTTTGAAGCAAAAGCACATGAACATTTAAAGTTTAAGTTCAAGTTTATTTATAAAGCACCAAGTCACAACATACGTTGTCTCGGGACACTGTACATGAAAAGAACAATGTAAAGAAGAAACCAGCAGATTGTGTTGAATCACTTCATCACAGTCTCCCATCCTGAGCAAACGGTGGAGAGGAAAAACTCCCTGCTAATCAGGAAGAAACCTCCAGCAGAACCAGGTTCAGGACTAGGGTTGGGCAATATTGGCAAAAAAATTAATCACGATTAATTGTGGTATTTAGCCGATAACGATTAATTTGACGGTTAATCCCCCGGAGTCCCTGGACACCCTTATATCCTGGTCACATGACCAATTTATGGGGAGAAAATTAGCTCTTCGTAAAAATATGTTCCAAATTGTGTCAAAATCACAGACTTCAGGCTGTACATCAAATTTTAAATTGTGTTGATAGATAAATATATTACACAATTTTTTTTAATGTTGGTCATATTTGAATCAGAGAGGAGCACCAAGCAGTTAGTCTGCCAGGTGGCATTAATCGACTTAATTGTCAACTGCCAAAAATTAATCGATTAATGTTTTTCTGACGATTAATCACACACGATACGATTATGCCCAACCCTACTCAGGACAGGCGGCCATCTGCCTCGACCGGCTGGTTGAGGGACAGGAAAGAGACACAGACAAACACAGAAGAACTGGTCCAGGACTGGTCCAGGTGCACATACTTCTGGAATAGAGACAAAGAAAAAACATGATAGAAATAATAACAAACATGTAGAGAAGAGAGACTAAAGACAACAGCAGAGTGAGGAAATGTGCTCAGTTTGTGCTCCAGCAGCAGAAATGAAGAATAATTCAGGAAACGTAAGTCTAACTACATGATTTATCAAAAAGGAAAGTCTTCAGTCTAATCTTAAAAGTAGACAGAGTGTCAGCCTCACGGACAGAAACTGGAAGTTGGTTCYAYRASAGAGGAGCTTGATAACTGAAAGCTCTGCCTCCCATTCTACTTTTAGAAACTCCAGGAACCGCAAGTAAACCTGCAGTCTGAGAGTGAAGTGCTCTGTTAGGAAAGTATGGAACAATAAGATGTTTAATATATGATGGAGCTTGGTTGTTGAGAGCTTTGTATGTTAGGAGTAATATTTTAAATTCTATTCTGAATTAGACAGCGAGCCAGTGGAAAAAAGTTAAAAATGTGTATTGTTTTCCTTTGTGATTGATTGAAGTTTTTATGTACTTGTTTGTATTTTGCCGTAGTAGTATTCAGAGAATGTGTGTATATGCACAGAGCAGAGTATGATAGTCTCTTTGTACATGTCTTCTTATTCTCAGGAACTGAAGCATTGCAGTGTTTTGTTGAACCGTCTCCACCCTGATGACAAGGCTCTGAAAAAAGAACTTGACAATAAGGAAGACATGAATCGTAAAGGTGTGAAACCCTTCTCTCGGATCCCTACATTCCAGAAACGACCCATCAGCACCAGTCTGAACACAGAGCCTCCTGTCCCTAAACAAGATACTCCAGTTCATAGAACTCAGCCTCCCGAAGAAGCTACAAGTGGAAGTGAGGAGGCTTCACAGTCTAAACCAGCTGATGTTAGAGACACTGCACTCCCCCTGCCATCGGCTCACAGTCCCAAAACCATCTCTGAGTCTCCCTTTGTGCCTGGAAGCATGGACCAAGATGCTACAGCACATTACGGTTATTTAAATGCTGCACCCAAAGGTTGGGGTCTGTCTGAGACTGGTTGGAGTCTTATGACTGCGAGCCCCAGGGCTGCTCTCCGATCCGAGCAAGACACAAGTAGTACCTTAGGAAGCGAAGCAGGTACCATCCCAGACTCCCCTGAAAGCTCTGTCTCACATGAGAGCTCCCTCAGCCAGAACCCTCAGGAACAGAACAGGTTCATGCTCACTTCCAGTGGAGACACGGAGATCGCTGAGGTCAGCCAAGTGGCAGCCATTATGGATGAAGAACCACCATGGGAGGTGGAGCTGATGAAGGAGGCTGAACAGAACGATAGCACATCTTCATCAGGTGCAGAGTCTGAGGAGGATTTGGGAAGTGAAAAATGTGAGGGTGGCACCTCGGAGCTTCATGAACCATTAGCACAACAGTCAGAGAGTGTAAATCTTGAAAAGGATAAACATAATAAATCCAGCTCTCCTGTAGCACTGGAGGAGCCTGCTAAAGTGAGCTCAGCCAAGTTGACAAAGGTGAGTTCTGTTTGTTACAGATATCCTCCAGTGATATCAGTAAACTGGTTTCATATATGAAAGAATGTCACCACACCCTGCAGTAGGTGTGGACAGTGCCACAGTATTGCTGTATTTATGATGGTGATTCAGTCCGTTTGTTCTTGAGGTAAATTCTACCTGCCTTGTTTAACAGAGGTCTAGATGCCCATGTTTGGCCCTTCTCTTCATGCTGCTTCTGGGAGGATTTGGTCAGTATGTGTGGCACTATGGGCTCCCCATGTCTGTGGCTCAGCTGACGGCTCAGCTGGAGCTTCACTGGCTGCAGGGCCTCTGCCTGCTACCAGAACCTTGTAGCACAGATTGTCGGCAAGTAATATCAATACCATTTTCATTTTTCACAGCCAATACTTTTTGTCACCTAATCAGTATTCATTGAGGTGTGGAAGGACCCCTAAAGTTAAGACAAGTTGTAATTTGAATCTCCCTCCATGTCATTAGAGTGCAGCTGGTGGAAAGCATCCCCATTGGTCTGTACCCATCCTCTGATTTGTCCAGCACAAGCACTTCAAACAGCTGGCTGCATCTGCTGGACACGGCCAACAGCTCAGTCCATATCACTGCTTTTTACTTCAGCCTGCGAGGCAGTGATGAGGAGTCAGCTGAGCGTTCTGACTCTCAGGTCAGTACAGGAGCAGCTTTCACCCTACAATCATGACATGTTGAGGGACTCAGGAGGTAATACTTTTGTTCTTGGATGCTTTGCAGGGCAGAGAAGTCTTTGAGCAGCTGAAGCAACTTGAATCTAAAGGTATCAAACTCCAAATAGCTGTCAATGCCCCTCAGACCTCAACTCAGGAAACAGCAGAACTGGCTGCAACAGGTGGAACTCTCATGTATTCTATGTTGTATTTATAAAGCAAAGCATGAAGAAATGTGGGGAAACTCATTGATTTTGTTGTTTTCCTTTGCTTGGCAGGTGCACAAGTCCGAGAGGTGGACCTCAAGGCTGTGACTGGAGGTATAGTGCACACCAAGCTGTGGGTGATTGACCAGAAGCACTTGTACATAGGAAGTGCTAACATGGACTGGCGCTCTCTCAGTCAGGTACAACAGCTTTTTATGGACAAAAGAGAGAAAAAAGACTTTTAAAACTCACCACCATTAGCATTTTTTTACCAGAATTTTATTATGTAGGTTTAACAGAGATGCACCCCTTCCACCTTAAAGGGATAGTTGGGCAATTTTAAAACACATTTTTGAAGAAGTTAAATGCAATTGTAGATGGCTTCTTTAGTGGCATCAGTTTGGAGAAACAGAGTTTATGTCCATCAGCTATCAACTATCTCAAAAATGTCATCGCTGTTCATGTGAATGCCTTTTAGTCCAACATCAGTTTTGCATAACATGTTTTTTTTAGCCTGTCAAAATTAAAATGGACCCACTCCCAAAGCTGAATACTGCTAGGTAGGGCTGCCATAATCGATTAATCGACGACTAATCGATTATTAAAATAATCGATGACTAATTTAATAATCGATTAATCGTTTTCTTTTTTTTTATGTTGTTGTTCTTTTCTTTGTTTTTCTCTCCAAACTGCTTTGACACCTTCCACTGCCACGTCTGCCTTTCTGTCCTTGACACACATGCACAGTAGTGGTAACTGGGGTAGGCCGTGGACGTCACAAGACATTATACAGACAGGCTCTGGTATCATGGCTACCTGACAACAGAGCTCAAAGTGTGGGATCATTTTAAGAAAATGAAAGAGAAACCTATGTAATATCTGCAGAGCAGAACTTACCTTCCACAGCAATTATTTTTAGTTAGCATATAGCTAAAATCTAACCATGGTTATATAATAGCAGCTGCATTCTGGCACAATAAGCTGTATATTTTATATTCTATTAATGCATGATCCGATTAATCGACTAATCGAAAAAATAATCGGTGATTAATCGATTATAAAAATAATCGTTTGTGGCAGCTCTACTGCTAGGAGCTGAGTAGGATACCTGTTCATACCCAAAATTATTTTTGTTTACCTTCGCCAAGGGCGAGGTAATGTTTTCGGTCGTGTATGTCTGTCTGTCTGTCGTTCTGTCTGTGGACAACATTACTCAAAAACTTGTGGACAGATTGTCATGACATTTTTACCACATGTGGGTACTGGGCCAAGGAACACACCTTTAAATTTTGGTGATGTTCCGGATCACGATGCGGATACAGGAATTTATTTTCTTTTAACACTCTGAGATCGGCAAAGCTGTGATGCTTTCACAGGGCTTCTGTAAAAAACAGTGACCTGGATTGGACAGCACGGACTTCAAGCTTTATAAAAGTAATGTTAAACAAGATTTGATGATGAATAATTTTTGCCATAATGTGCACATTTACAGAACGTTTTGTGACCAGGAAGTGCGTGACTGCACCATGAAACCTATTTTTTCCATTTCCTCAAACACACCACATTTCCGAAACAACCAATCAAAACAGTTTGTCTCTACTAGGCTTGTAAACAGAGAGCTGCCGGGCCTCAAAGTTTGGAGACGGGGGGAGCCAGGAAGCACTTTATAAAGAGAGTCAAACCATTACAAACTCATTCAAGGGGATAAAACAGATGTTTTACATGGTGAAACGTGACTGATGAAAACTTAGGAGCTTAATCCCACACCAGTTTGACCATGAATAATGTCGGGTGACCAGTCTGACTTTTTTTTCACATTGGACTCCACTGAGAAGAAATCCCGTGCATACTGCTGCTTAAATGTTCACTACGTCAGAACTTATTCAGCAAACGTGTTTCCATCTCTGCTTTTGTGCATTAACTCTTACAGGATGGGGGAAATTGGTCTTGGTGGAGGTTTGCACTCTCCGAGTGCTTCTAGTTTTTGTTGTGTCCATGTACGGGTTTAAATAGCCTGAACAAATTGAGAACTTTGCCCCAGCCCAGTAAACTGTTTCACAGGGGACCCTTTTCCTTGCCACATCACTGAACATGCATGCAGGAAATCAAGCTGCAAGCTCATTGGAGTAGCCAGGCGGTGGGAGGCTTTTTCTTCTCCTACTCAAGTGGCTGCTGCAGTCTTGACTGACTGACAGAAAATGAAAACAAAAGTCCCATTTTCACTATCGTTGAATGCAGTGTAGAGTACACCTTATCTGTGATATACACAGATAGACTTCATGCTCAAAGCTTCTCCTTCACGACTGTACCTTCCCCTGTGTGCCCCCCTCTCCTCACTACTCACATAACTTGAGCCCAAAATGTGCAACTAATGTCTACAACCAGGGAAGGAAGAAAACACAGAGGAAGGGTGGCTCTGGTGGAGTGATTAGGGGGGTTGTCCTGCAACCGGTAGGTTGCCAGTTTGATTCCCCTCTCCAGCAGTCACTCAGTTGTTGTGTCCTTGGGCAAGCTACTCCTGCCTTGCCTACTGATGGTGGCCCAGTGTGCGTATGTGAATGTGTGTATGTCTGAAATGTAAAGTGCCATTTTTACCATTTAAGTAATCCAGGTAGAAACACGCCCCCCACCCAAAGAAAATGAAAAGTTAAGTAGGTCTTCTGAACAGTTTCTTCTTTAATTAATGAAACATTTCGTTTCTTCTCCAAGAGACTTCTTCAGTCTGAGGAGTTACAGGTAAACTCAGCCTTATAAGCACTGCCTCCACATAGTGGACAAACAGGTTAAATAATGACAATCAGCACTTTTGCCCTCTTTTACACATGTAAAAGTGGGCACTTAACCCGCCCACACAGACCAATATTTGCGGTTTGACTCCTATAACCCACTGTAACACAAGTTAGGAGTGATCAGGACTCTGTACCACAGAGCAGACAGTGTCCCTACAAATCCAGGAGCCAGGGAGAAAGAGAAATCACACACACACAAGGCACTGGCAATGTGGTTATCCTAGCTGGGCTTTCCTGAAAGCAGACAAGAAACCCAAACAAGACTCCAGCCAGTACAGGGTGAAAATGAATACCCCAAATCCTGACCAAACCAGTCGTCATTCCGTATGTTGCAGGAGTTTCAGGAAAAACTGAGACGTTTATTCACTAAACATAACGCCCCAGTGGCTTTCAAACCCCAAAACACATTACGACAAAGACTGGTTCACCCCAAAGATCTAGTTCCCCGTCACAGAGTAATGTTATGTAGGCTGTTAAGTGTCAGGAGGACTGTGACCAGTTATACATCGGGGGGAAAGCAGCCACTGTTCAAAAGAATGAGCCAGCACAGATGAGCAACATCATCAGGCCAGAACTCTGCAGTTTACACTCATCTACAGGCCAGGACTCTACAGTTTACACTCATCTACAGGCCAGAACTCTGCAGTTTACACTCATCTACAGGCCATGACTCTGCAGTTTACACTCATCTACAGGGCATGACTCTGCAGTTTACACTCATCTACATGGCATGACTCTGCAGTTTACACTCATCTACATGGCATGAC